CGGGCTCGAGTTTTTGTTGACCTCGAGCCCGCCCAACAGCACGTCCACGGCAGTTGGGGCGGGCGATCCTTCCTCTGCCCGCCGCTTGTTACGGCGATCGCCCGTCATTTCTCGGGCGTTACGGTCGGAGTCGGAAACCGGCGCAGACGAATTGACGCGGTTAAGTGCCGGCGTAGACGCCATTGTAGATCGATTGTGGTTGAAAATGTCTTGCAGAAGTGTTGAGGGTGACTCGCCTCTGGGAAGGGTGCGAGTTCTAGCCAGCTTGGACGGGGAAAAGAACTACTCGAACGGAAATGTTGATTGAGCCGTTGGAAAACGAGAAACGTGGGTGGAGGGAATGAACTCCAACCCACGGTTTTTGTAGTTGGAGAAGGGCGTTTAGCTTAGCGCGCTTCGACGCTGCCAAATATTCGGTACAGTCAGCTTCGCTTTCACAATACACAATTTTGAAAAACATCAATGTGTTTAAAAATTATAATATTTCATTCGCAGGGCTAATACCACAGCCAGTCGCCAAGCGGATCGACACCGACGCAATTTACCCTTCCGCACGGGGCAAGTTGTACTTCTGGACACCAGAAACCTCCGGCTGCCGCAGCCCGCCAAATTACGACCCCGGTTCGTAGGACCGTTTCGTATCGTCCAGATGGTGACACCTGTCACCGCCAAGCTGCTGTTGCCCGACGACTGGAAAATCCATGACGCCTTCCACGTCAGCCTTCTGCGTCATTACGAGCCCCCGCAGTCGCCAACTGTCGCTCGGCCTACGCTCGCGCCGACAACACGCCCTGTGGCGGAGCCCACGCTGGAACCCTGGAAAATTCTGAACCACCGCGTGGACGTGACCACCGCCGGCCGCTCCGTGAAATTCCTGCTTCGTTGGAAGAACCGCACGAGCGAGGATGACACGTATGTCCCTGCTGACTCGCTCCTGGGACATCCGATTGTGGATGCTTACCTGACCCGCCGTGGTGTCTCCGACATTCACCACCTTTCTTAAGGGGGGGGGTAGTGTAAGGAATTTTTCGGATTCCTTACTGGGTCACACTGTACGCGTACAAACCTGACTTTTCGGAAAACCAGGCTCGGTCCGACGACCTCGCTTTCCGAACCACTATCGCGTCGCTTTCGGGTTTCACAACCCCGGACCTGCACCCAGCCATCCTGCGACCCTACAACCTCGGCCCAGCTAGCCTCGCTATATTAGTCCTAGGCCTCGTTGTGCTCTCAGTAGTTGTAATCACTTCCGCGATATTGAATTCTGCGCACTCTTCTTTCATACAAGTCATAACATCCACCATACTGTGGCATTGCCAGGGAAGAATGTAACCAGCAGGCTGCAGCACAGATGAACCTGGCCATATACCTCTCCAGAATGGGTGTTTCATTGAGTATCTCAAAAACATTGTTTGACAGTCTTTCTAAAATACAAGGGGACGTCGTCAAGCACGAGGCCAATGACATGGACTGGACTGAACACTGAGTTCAGTTGAATACCGTAACACATGCACTGTACACATATCGGGAGCTTAGGTTATATTTTTAAGAAGTGGTGCGTGTAAGCTGAGCAAGTGAAATGTCAAGGTAGAAAAAGAGAATGGAATTCTCCATGGACCAGGGTGCAGAGCTGATTGTAGTTGCTTTGGTCTGGAGGGGAGTGGAAATGAGAAGGCAGAGAGATTGGGGGGTTAGGAAAAGGAGGGGAACAGGGAAAACAAGAGAGGGGGGGGGGAGGCTTAAATTCATGAATAAGATGAGCGTTGTTAGGATAATAGCGAAAAGGAGGGGAAACAGACATGTTCCTCGATCTGTGCGAACGCGAAAGCAAGAAGACCGTTCGCATCAGCATACATGTTCGCCCACTGGCCTTCCCTAACATCCCTAACTGTTTTTTACGCCTGCACTAAAATCGGAAGGAGTGAAAAGGCGTGCCAAACAGATCTCCAACAACATCGCCTCCTTACGACTCGACTCATAGGTCACCTCCAACATCGCCTCCTTATGACTCGACTCAGAAGTCACCTCCAACGTGGGATCCTGAAAGAAACGGATGCGCGACCTCCATGGTCGAGACGGACTCCAAAACATGAGTGAAACGGGGACGTAGCTTACCGAAGTTATTTCCGAAAGCGGTCGATGACTCTTCCCGAATGGTCGTGTCGTTCTCGGGAACACCAATCACCTCGACGAATTGCGAGTTATCCCACGGCGAGCGAGTCAACGCGCGGACTGTAACTGTAGCGTTGTCGCACGTCTGAGCTGTGATTATACCGGGGTCCACTCGCACCACTCTCAGGACCGTCCGGATCTTACGACCCACGAAACGTCTCATTTGCTCTCCATTAACCATCGGAGACGGGTCTGACAAGTCCATGGTTGTCGCTAGTCGAATTTAAGCGCGTCGTCCTCTATAATATTTAAAAATGAGACCGTCACCCTAAGTGAAATTTGAGACGGTAACCCTAAGATAAGTCGGGATGAAAGACGAGTGTCTGTAAAGAGAAGCTTCTGAGGCGCTCTGAGAAGCTGACGACTGGATTAATCGGTCTCAATTCTACGTGGAAGATCCTGAAGAAACCAGAAGGTGCGAAGTGGGAGACCTCGCCACAGAAGCATTTGAATATTTGAAATCGTAATCCAGGGGAATGGTGGGGAGGGTCTTTCGTTGTTTGAAACTTGACCCGGCCGAGTTCGTACATTTGCTTTGTACTAGCGAAACGGTGAGATCAGTTACCACGGTTAATGAGAGCTCGTTTGTAGATTTGAGGCGGTGGAGCATGGTCAGAAGCACAGTAATACGGTTCCAGCGAGAGTTGCGAAAGTTTAGCGACTGTGGTTACCGACCTTACTTCAGAACATCAGCCAACATCCTGAAGCCGGTTTCCGTAGGAGGGTCGAGATGTTTCACTGCATGTTCGGTTTTGGCGATGAGAGAGGTTCGAAGGGCTGTCAGTTTTCGCAAAAGGTCTTGGGGTGCATGAAACGACTTGGCTTCAGCTTGAAGCTAGTTTTCCCCAAGCATTGTGAGGTGGTGTTCCGCTTGTCCAAGCGAGGAGGGGACATCTGTGCCTTGCTGTAGGCACGTTTCCCCCTGCTTCGGTCACGACACGATCGCTGTGCGAGGGACGTCAAAACTTGACTGGGCGAGCATCGCGCTTTGTTCGGGAAAATACTACACAAAGTCCCCTCATTGGTTGACGATGAGTAACGAACCACGCACGAACCTAGAGTTCAAGTTTCTTCCTGGGCTGTTTTCCTTCACCTGTATTTCTGCCAAGCCTAGCCTGCGAATGTCGGTGTTGTTTGATTGAAAGCAATCAGGACGAATCGCACCTCCAAGTGGAATGCATTTCAGGTTGGAAAAACGCGCACCAGCTTCATCCAAACCCTGGTTTGATTTCAACGAATGCTAAAAAGTTTTGTTTCAACTGGTTTGCAGATTCTGCCGCAGCTCTTAGCGTTTCGCCAGCACGCTGGGGAAAGTGACACTCTCAACTGGTAGCTCAACTCTTAAAATCGGGAAAACCTGGACGACCCACTCACCCAAAATTTCCCCCGGAAACTTCGGGTTACCCTGCTGTCACGGGAATTGCCTTTCCCGCCCTTCGGGAACCTCGCCGTCGTGTGGAGGGGTGTGAGATTGTGCTTGGCACGCACTGATTGGGTGGAACCGGCTCGATTTTGCACTTTCATCCTCCTCCCCTCCCGCACTCAACTCCTTCGATTCTCTTGCGCTTTTGATGGCTGGCTGCATTTGCTTGTGATGCCAAACACATGTGCTCGGACAATGTCAAGGCACAGGCAGTCCCGGTCTCGATCACCTCTTGCGCTTTGGGGCTCTCGATAGACGCCCCAAAGGGTAGTTTGAAATTGCAGAATCCAGGAAAGCCTTAGTAAGGAAAAGTAACACTTTCGTGTCAGTATGCGCTTGTCAAGGCAAACTCATAGCTTTGTAATTGCATTGTGAATCGTCAGGCAGTACATCATTAATCAATACTAACAATCATGGCGCCTCTTGCTCTGGGACTGGGGCAAGTGAAAATACTACCTCTTGCGCTCCTCACCATCACCATTTTATCGCATCAGACGAATTCCGGTGAGTTTATTGGATGTGCAGCTGAGCACGCACGTGCCTATAATCAAGCAATAAGCTGAAACGACTAGATGCGGGTAAACAATGATAGGCTAGCATCCATGAAAGTTGCAGCCCAACTACTCTCGATAATCGTCTCTGGTACTCTCAGTCCTAGGTTTCGATCGGACCCTTCAACTACAACATCGCGAGTGATTCTTTCTCCCCATGCAATGTGCAACACTCATGAACGTTAGACCCAACCCCTCTCTTCCTGCACAATCGCCGCTTGCTCCACCAGGGGCGGTGATCCGCGCAGTCGCGGAGTCCGCGGGCTTTCCGCCATCGCCGTACGAGCGCGAGTTTGCGCAGTATCGCGGAGCGGACGGGTTACTGTCGCTCGACTATCTCAAAGCGCCGCACACGTCGCACGGCGATGGCCGAGGCCGGAAAACTCTCGATCAGATATTTAAAGTCGTTTTCGTGAGTGCGCTCCCAGCTTCCGCTCCGACCCCCCTTTCCTCCTCCCTTCCTCCTCCCCCCCTCTCCGCCCCCTCCGCGTCTTCCGCTCCCGTCCGCCTCTTTCATTTCCACGCTTCCACCGCCCCTCTTCCACCACATAACGCCTTCAACTCTGCCACTCCCTCCTGATGATGCAGGGTAATTGTTTAGAATTCTAAACAATTTCCTGTATCTTTAACACGCTCTCTCCCTCTCCTCTTCCCCCGCCAACCTCCCTTCCCTACAGCTTCCCGCACTTTGCCCCACGCCTCCGCAATGCTCCAAATGTCCAACTTCCTTTCCCTCTCCTCCCAGCTGACTTTTGAGTCGACTCAAAAGTCGACTCCGCAATGCTCCGCATGTCCAACTTCCTTTCCCTCTCCTCCTAGCTGACTTTTGAGTCGACTCAAAAGTCGACTCCGCAATGCTCCGCATGTCCAACTTCCTTTCCCTCTCCTCCCAGCTGACTTTTGAGTCGACTCAAAAGTCGACTCCGCAATGCTCCGCATGTCCAACTTCCATTCCCTCTCCTCCCACGATCCTCCCCCGCCCTCCCGTCCCCCTTTCCCCCCTTCCCGATTTCTCCCTGCCCGCTTTCTCCCTCCCCCACTTCCCCCTCCCCCTTGCGCCAGTGCTCCCCAAATCCCGGCCCCGCGGCCCCGCCGACCAGCAACCTCCTAAAGAACCCGCGATTCCAGGACGGCCTGTCGTCGTGGCTGGCCTTCGGCGAGTCGTCATTACGCCGCGTGCAGGCCGCGAACTACTCGTACGGCGTGTCGTACGCGCGGCGCGAGGAGTCCGCGGGGCCGGCGCAGATAATACGTAACTTGCCGGCCGCGGCGTACGAGCTCGCGATCTGGGTGAAGCTAGGTGCCGCCAGCGGGCCGGCCGCTAAAACTGCCGGCTTGCCTCCCGCCGGCCGGCAGTACGTGAACGCGATGGCGAAGATCGACGGCAAGTACGTGTGCATCGGCGGCGCGAACGCGCGGCCGTCGTGCTGGACGAAGGTGATTGGCGGATTCACGCTGCATCGGACGGCTAGCGAGGTCGCGGTGTATATCCAAGGCGCGACGGTCGGGACGGAGATCTTGGTGACGTCAGCATCGCTGCTGAAGGTGGACACGGCGATGTGGCGACAGCGGCAGAATGAAAATATCAAGAAGGTAAGTCTGTGAAAGAAGGAGGCTGAGTATTTATTTATTCCACTCAAACAGTAAAAATGTTAGTCCATTAATCATTATGTAGGCGAATCGGAAGCGCTCAGAGTGTAAGGAAGCAGGGAGGGTGGTGCCTGGGTCAACCTTTAGAGTCCGCGCTTTTCTTGTCTCCTGCGGAGTCCGCCGCACTCCCATTCTCATATCTCCCTCCTCCTCCCTCCCTCCTCTCCCCTCCTCTCCCCTCCTCACTACGACACTCTACGAGTGCATGAAGCAGGAGCGCTGTCAGCCAGCCAGCCAGCCCGCATGCAGATCGACCAGGTGACTAGGAGCTTCCATCTGAGACTGCCTCTGAGCCTCCTTCCCCCCATTCTCGTCCCTTCCGCTTTCCCCTCCCCATTCCACCCACCCCCCTCCCCAACCCAACCCCTGCAGCATCGCCACCGTGACGTCACTCCCCTCCTCCCCCTCCTCACTACGTCACTCTCCGAGTGCATGGAGCGGGAGCGCTGTCAGCCCGGGTGCAGATCCACCAGGTGACTTCGGAGTTCCCATTCCCTCTATTCACAGCCTCCTGCGCAGCTGCGCTCTATGCCCCCCCTCCCTCCCGCCCTCCCCTTTGGTCCCCTTCCCCACCTTCCAGCACCGCCAACGAGACGTGACATTGCGGGTGCACGGAGCAGGGGCAGTATCAGCGCGCGTGCAGATCGACCAAGTGACTTCGGAGTTCCCGTTTGGAGCTAATGTCAACGGCGCGATCCTCTACGACAAAAACTACCAGCGGGTGGGTGTCGGTGGGTGTGGGTGGGTGTGGGTGGGCGTGTTCGTGTGGGTGTGGGTGTTTTTGTGGGTGTGGGTGCGCGGTAAGCAGCAACTGACGTTGGGTGTGAATGCGAATCCTCGTGCAAATGCGACTTAAGGAAACGATACAAAGTCACAACAGGCAGTCTGAAGCTAACTGTTAATGTTACGAATGCAAGTGTGCACGGGTGTCGCTGTGAACGAAAAAAAAAAAACAAAAAAACAAAAACAAAAACAACAATTGCCATGGTCGTTCAATGAGCGGAGTCTTTATGATTGTTTTCCCCCCTCCCGCCCGTCGATACGGTACCCAAACCGGTTCCTGCGTTCGTTCTTTCCCCATCATTCATCCCTCCAATGGTTCCCCAGTCGCTTCAACTGGGCAGTGTTCAACACCAAGGGCAAGTGGTACTTCAACGAGCGGATGCAGGACCTCCAACCCCTTCCCACCCTTTTCCACCCTTTCCCATTCCCCCAGTGGTTCCTAAACAGGCTCAACTGGGCAGTGTTCAACAACGAAGCCAAGTGGTATTTCAACGAACAGACACAGGGCGTACAGGACTGCCACGTGAAACAAGAGTGTTTTTGAGACGTCTCAAAAACACTCTTATTTCACTGGACGTATTGGACTATAATGTAACGTAATCTCCCCTCCCTTTCACCTCTTGCTCTCCCGCTCTCTCTCCCTCTCACCTCATCTCTCTCCCCTTGCAGTGGTGTGGTTCCTAAACAGATTCAACTGGGCGGTGTTCAACAACGAAGCCAAGTGGTATTTCAACGAGCAGAGTCCAGGCGCACTAGACTACAATGTGACGGACGCGCTGGTGCAATGTTCACACCTTTCGACCCTCTTTCTTCCCCCTTCCACGCCTCTCCACCCCATTTTACACACTCCCATCCCTGCAGTGGTTCCTAAACAGGTTCAACTGGGCAGTGTTCAATAATGAAGCTAAATGGTATTTCAACGAGCAGAGCCCAGGCGCACTGGACTACAATGTGACTGACGCGTTGGTTAGATGGTTCACCCAGAGGAACATCAAAGTGCGCGCTCACAACATCTTCTGGGCCGTGGAGAAGTTTGTTCAGACGTGGGTCAAGGTGAGTCAAGTCAACGCTGGTCAACGTTGGTCAACGCTGGTCAAGGCGAGTCAGTGTGGTTCACCCAGAGGAACATCAAAGTGCGCGCTCACAACATCTTCTGGGCCGTGGAGAAGTTTGTTCAGACGTGGGTCAAGGTGAGTCAAGTCAACGCTGGTCAACGTTGGTCAACGCGGGTCAAGGCGAGTCAGTGTGGTTCACCCAGAGGAACATCAAAGTGCGCGCTCACAACATCTTCTGGGCCGTGGAGAAGTTTGTTCAGACGTGGGTCAAGGTGAGTCAAGTCAACGCTGGTCAACGTGAGTCAAAGAATTTCTCAAGTGTGGGTGGTCTAGACAACAATGTGACAGACGCGCTGGTGAGCGATCAAAGTGATGAACGATCAGAGCCTGGACGCGCACGCACGCACGCACAACGTGTTCTGGGCCGTGGAGAGTATGAGTAGCTGTGGGTCAAGGTGAGTCAACGCCAGCCTAGGTAATTCAACGCAGTCAAGGTGAGTCAACGTCAGTCAACGCCTCCCACCCACTCCTCCCCTCCCCTCTCTTGCATTGCATGGCAGGGTCTCAACAACACCTCCTTATGGGCGGCCATGCAAAGGCGCATGAGCAGTGCAGTCAGCCGGTACCGAGGCAAGGTGCAGCACTGGGATGTCATCAACGAGCCTCTGCATGGCAACTACTACGGGCAGCGCCTGGGCGGCAATGTGCACTCGTGGATGTTTAAAGCTGCCCGAGCGATTGACCCTAATGTCAGGTTGTTCCTTAACGAGTACAACACTGTGGAGCAATGCGACAAAGAGGCTAACCCGGAGATTTACCTCGAGGTGAGTGGGAGGATATGTAGGCAAGTGGAAGAGAAAAGAGAAGTGCAGCAGAATGGAGAGTGTAGTGCAGCTGCTCTTAACGAGTACAACACTGTGGAGCAGTGCGACAAGGATGCCAACCCAAAGGTATACCCCGAGGAGCGGTGCTTTGTTGAATCCGCTTGCTGCTATGTTGGTATCAAATGCTCTGTTGCGGAGTTGTTTGCAGTGTTGTTAGCCTCAACACCTCTCCAGCCAGCCAGTAACAAAAAAGAAAAAAAAAAAAAAAAAAAAAAAAAAAAAAAAAAAAAAAAAAAAAAAAAAAAAAAAAGAGGGAGAATTGAAGGAAAAAAAGAAAAAGGCAAAACGAAATTGAGGACAAGACCATATGTTAGCGTCACCTCTTTTCTACAGTTCTTACCCACGCAATCCAGAACCAGCCATGTACGATTTTCGAAAATCGCTCACAAGTTACGTCCACGTTTCAGAACCTGCCATGAAGACATAATCCCCCTCCCCACCCGCCCTTTCACATTCACTTTCCCCCATTATCTTCTCCCTTCTATCTTCCATTCGCCGTTTACTCTCCCCAAGCAGAAGGTGTGGAATCTCACTTCTAGTGGGGCGCCAGTGACAGGCATAGGCGTGGAGGCACACTATAGTGGGGAGCCGCAACTGGTGAGTGGAGTGAGTGAGTGAGTGGGAGAGGAGGAGTGCGATTGGGGTGAGAGTGAAGTGAAAGAGAATGGGAGGTAAAGGGCTGTAGCACACTGGAGTGAGAGGCATAGGCGTGTGCATAGGCGTTCATTTCACACTACAGGGGGGAGCCGCAACTGGTGAGTGGAGTGAGTGAGTGGGACTGGCCGAGTGGGAATAAAGGACTGCGAATGAACGAGTGGGAAGAAAAAAGAGTGGGAATGAAAGAATGGGAATAGAGTGAGAGGGATTAAGAGAGTGGAGTGCGAGGATGATGTGAGAGAGTGAGAGAGGTTTTCAGGGGCTGTAGAGTGAGGGGCATAGGTGTGGTGGAGGAGGCACGCTTCAGTGGGGATCCACAGCAGCGTCTTACGAAACACCCTCTAAAGCACAGGATCTCTGCTTTTTTCTCAGAAACACTGCGTCGCTTGCAAGTTCCAAGGAGTGCACAACAAAGGAGGGTTTTCTGACTCGCTCCCTTAGCCCCTACCCTCTCTCCCTTCACTCCCTCTCTTTTCCGAATACCTTATTTTACCAATTTTCTCTATCCAGGTCCGTCTGAAACACGACCTGAATCGGCTAGCTGTAGCTGGCATGCCCATCTGGCTGACCGAGCTGGATTTCACACCGAAGTCCAATCCGATGAACAGATCTGAACCGTGCCATGTTTCCTCCCTACCCCTCCCTTCAGGTGTGGTTGAAGCACGATCTGAACCGGCTAGCTGTAGCCGGCATGCCCATCTGGCTGACCGAGCTGGATTTCACACCGAAGTCCAATCCAATGAACAGATCTGAACCGTGCCATGTTTCCTCCCTACCCCTCCCTTCAGGTCCGGTTGAAGCACGGCCTGAACCGGCTGGCAGTGGCAGGAATGCCCATCTGGCTGACCAAGCTCGATTTCACACCGAAGTCCAATCCGATGAACAGATCTGAACCGTGCCATGTTTCCTCCCTACCCCTCCCTTCAGGTCCGGTTGAAGCACGGCCTGAACCGGCTGGCAGTGGCAGGAATGCCCATCTGGCTGACCAAGCTCGATTTCACACCGAAGTCCAATCCGATGAACAGATCTGAACCGTGCCATGTTTCCTCCCTACCCCTCCCTTCAGGTCCGGTTGAAGCACGGCCTGAACCGGCTGGCAGTGGCAGGAATGCCCATCTGGCTGACCAAGCTCGATTTCACACCGAAGTCCAATCCGATGAACAGATCTGAACCGTGCCATGTTTCCTCCCTACCCCTCCCTTCAGGTCCGGTTGAAGCACGGCCTGAACCGGCTGGCAGTGGCAGGCATGCCCATCTGGCTGACCGAGCTTGATTTCAACGAAATGGTATTCACCTACACCTCGTTTGTCACTATGATACCCCACCTCCTTTTTACAGGTCCGCCTGAAACACGACCTAAACCGGCTAGCAGTAGCCGGCATGCCCATCTGGCTGACCGAGCTCGATTTCAACGAGGTGGTATTCACCTACACCTCGTTTGTCACTATGATACCCCACCTCCTTTCTACAGGTCCGTCTGAAACACGACCTAAACCGGCTGGCAGTAGCCGGCATGCCCATCTGGCTGACCGAGCTCGATTTCAACGAAGTGCAATCGGGGAGGCAAAGGGCGGATTATCTGGAAGCGGTGATGCGAGAGGCCTTTGCACATCCCTCGGTGGCCGGCATTGTGCTGTGGTCGGCGGGGAGATCGACGTGCATGTACTACAAGGACATGGACCCGGGCATGTGCAGCGCGTGTGATGCGTGCTTGGCAAATGACAAGTTTGTCGACAACTTAGCGGGGCAGAGGTGAGCTGTCGATGTAAGGGTGCAGTGAAGGGTCGGTCAATGTGTATGTACTACAAGGACATGGACCCGGGCATGTGCATGTACTACAAGGACATGGACCCGGGCATGTGCATGTACTACAAGGACATGGACCCGGGCATGTGCAGCCCGTGTGATGCATGCCTGGCGGATGCCAGATTCGTTGATAACCTGGCAGGGCAGAGGTGAGATGTGGGTGTAAGGGAGATTGGGAGTGAGGGGGTGGGGGGTGGTGGTAGTTCCACTGTGCGTGCTCTGGTCGGCTGGTCGGTGGTCGACGTGCACGTACTATAAAGGCATGGATCCGGGCATGTGCAGTCCGTGTGACGCGTGCTTGGCGAATGGGAAGTTTGTCGACAATCTGGCAGGGCATGGGTGAGCTGCTGCAGGTGCAAAGGTGTGGAGAGGGGGGAAGGGGGGGAAGGGTGCTTGGTCAGCTGGGAGATCAACGTGCATCCGGGCATGTGCAGCCCGTGCGACGCACGCCTGGCAGACGAAATTGAAGAAGTGTTTTGAGACGTCTCAAAACACTTCGTCAATCACCTGGCGGATGCCAAGTTTGTCGACAACCTGGCAGGGCAGAGGTGAGGTGCAGGTGCAATGGTGTGGAGAGGTGGAGCGAGTGGGGTGGGTATAGGGGGGAGGGGGGGGGGGGTGGGGTGGAGGGTGCTGGTTGGCTGGTTGGTTGACGTGCACGTACTATAAGGACATGTGTCCCGCCATGTGCAGTGCGTGTGATGCATGCTTGGTGGATGCCAGTTTGCAGTGCGTGTGATTCCTGGACAAACTGGCAGGGCAGAGGTGAGGTGTAGGTTGGAGAGGCCTGAGGATGAAAAGGTGCTCTGCTGAAACATGCTTGGCGGATGCCGTTTGTCTTTTGAGTCGACTCAGAAGGCATGGGTGCGTGGAGGGATACAGGGGTAAGCAGGTGACTTTTGAGTCGACTCAGACGTTGGGTGGGGGAGGGGGTGAGGATGAAAGTGTGCTCTGCGGAGGCATGCTCGGCACCGTTTGTCGACTACTTAGCGGGGCAGGGTTGAGTGCACAGACAAGAAGGTGCTAGAGGGAGGTTTTTGAGAATTCTCAAAAACACCCTGCAGGGTTGAGCGCACGGGTCTAGAGGGATGGTCTGGTCAGTCATGCCATGTCTTGTCATATGCCCTAAGTGTGCCTACCTTTGGGACTTTTGAGGCACCTCAAAACACATGTGCCTATATGTTCGTGTGCGTGCGATGCCTGCTGGGGGGACACAAAGTCTGTCGACAGTCTGGCTAGACAGAGGTGAACACAGGGAGGAGGTTAGAGGGTGGGTTTGGTGTTGTTGATAAGAACAGGTACGTGCCACATGTTGTTCACACGGGGTGCACATGGGGTGCACATGGGTGCACAGTAAGGACACGAACGCGCCCGGGCATGTGCTATGTGTGTGACGCGTGCTTGGCTGGTGCCAAGATCGTGGATAATCCGGTGGGGCAGAGGCGAAGATCGATCGAGGGAAATACAGATTTAGTCTGTCATGGTTCTCCATGTCATGGTTCCCTCCACATTGCCAGATTTCATTCATGTGCACTGATAACACCGATAATTCTCCCCGAGTGATTCTCATGACTTCTGTTTTCATTTGCAGTCAAGCATAAACCCCCGTGACCCCGTCCCCCTCGAACACCTTCTCCACCCCCTCTATGCTGCCATCATCCCTCCCTAGGTATGTGAGATTGCGGAAGGAGTGGAGCACTCACCTCATGCGACAGGTTACATTTGGAAGCCCGATCAAATTCAGAGGGTTTCACGGCAAGTATCGTGCCCGCATCACAGTGAATGGGAAGCTTATAGAGAGATACTTTTATGTTCCCAAACAGACAGTTGGGCTTAATGTGGATATTAGGATATAGATATAGGGAATGCTAAGGGCTAACATGGTGACTTTCTCGGTTGCCAAACGTTTATACCTGTGTAGACAAATGCTTCTTTTTTGTGTACACGGATCCGTAGTCTAAGGGGATGGAAAGTGCATCCAACTGTTAGCATTCTTGGGGCAAATGAACAGTGTTTGATGGAAAATGAAAAAGCACAGCCATTAGTACAAGAATGTACAGTACGCTGTACAGAGTGTACAGAATGCGGCTACTACCCCCTACTTCTGCCCCACTTCCACATTCCCAGCTCCTCCTCACCTCTCCCCTCCATACAATCACAGTTCCACACGAAGCGCGTCGCCAGGAGAGGGATGTGCCACGCGCTGCCGAATCTTCTCCGCCTTCCCCTCACCCTTCTCTCCCTTCATCCCCATTTTTTCGAACAAGTCCCCAAACTGCGTCTGAATCTGCTCAAACCCTTTCTTCGCCTCTTCATACCTCCTCCACGCTTCCTTCTTCACACCTTCGGCCTGATCGCCGCTCCTCGATTTCGCACTTTCAGTTGCGTCGTTAGCCGCGTTCCACAGCTCATGCATGGACGCTTCCGCCCGGTTGTACATATCGCGCAGCACATCTTCCCCCTCGTCCGCTCCGCCAGGCCTCCGCAGCTCCCCCACCTCCCCCGTCGCGAAGCTGAGCGCCTCCTTCGCCGCCTCGTAACGCGAGCTGGCGGCTTCCGCCAGCTGCTTCAGCCAATCCGCGTTCTTCCCCGAGCCCTTCTCCGCCGCTCCCTGCGCCTTCCGCGCAGCTTCTTCCGCCTCGTCCTTCCGCTTCGCCACAAGCCGCAACCACCATTCCATCATCACCTTCCCCGCGCGCTGAAAATCCGCGGGGCCCGGAATTGCTGCCGCAGCGCCAGAAGCAGCATCATACGCCTTCGACCCCGCCGCCTTGGCCTGATCAGCGGCGAATTGGCCCGCGCCAGATACGCCCTCCCCCACGCGGCCTGCTGCGCCAGCCGCGGTATCGTACGCGCCTTTCCCCGCGCTATGGGCGCCAGCTCCCGCCTGCTTAACCGTCCCCGCCGCGAACTCCCCCGCTTGCCCCGCTTGGTTCGCGGCCTCGCCGATCCGCGACACGGTGTCGCGCACGCCGTCAACCACCCTGCCGACCGCCGATCCGACTGCGCCAGTCGCGCGTTCCGCGCCCTCCTCCGCGACTTCCCGTCCCGCCTCCGCGGTCGACGCCACATCAGCGGTGCGTTCGCCCGCTCGTTGCGTGAGGCCTTCAGCAGTTTCCTCCGCGGCTGTTGCGCCGGCCTTGGCGCGTTCCCCCGCCTCTGCGCCGGCGGAAGCGGCAGTGTCGCGCGTTTGCCCAACGATGTCCCATCCCACGCCCATGCCCTGCCCCGCGGCGTGCTGAAGCTGGTCTGCCACGGACCGCATGCGGTCGTACACGCCCCAGCCCGCCTTCCCCGCCTCTTCCGCCGCGCGCTGCCCGCCCGCTTTGGTCCCCTCGAGCGTCGCCCCCGCGCCTTCTGCCATAGCGTCCGCGTATTCTTCCGCGCGTTGCTGCGCTTGCGCACCCGTCTCTCCTGCACGCTCCCCCAGCCGCGCGCCAGCCTCCCCCGCACGTCGCTGTGCTTCCGCGCCTGCCTCTCCCACCTGCTCCGCACCCTCGCGGCCAGCGGAAGCTGCCCCGGTCGCTGCCTGCTTGAGTTTCTCCCACGCGCTTGTAACGGCGTCAGATGCGGCGTTTGCTCCGGCTTCTGCGTGCTTCTCAGCCGCGTCGCCGCTCTTGGCGGCGGACTGGCCGGCCTTGGATGCCGATTCGCCTCCCGCGTCTGCAGCCTCTGACCACTTCTCCTCTGCCTGGGCTTCGGACGGCGATCTGCATAAAACAGGTGACATGTTGGAGAACTACATGAAAAAAGTAAACGTAAATATAACGAAGAAACATAACATGAGTAGAGGACGAATGTTACCCGGAAAAAATAACTACCTCTTGCCCATGCCAGTCACGCCAGAGACCCAATCCGTCCAACTCCCCTCGTTCTCCTCTTCACTCCCCTCAGTCGTTCCAACGAGGTGCGATACGCCTGCAGCCACGGTTCGCGGCTCTGGCTCATCCGGATTGGCGGACTGCGAGAGGGGAGGCTCGTCCACCGGAACACCTCCTACAGGGTCGGTGGCTTTGGAAGACACTCCGAAGACTGAGAAGGCGTGTGTGGCGTGAGCGATGAGCAGCGCCAGCAGGAAAACCACGAGGAAACGAAGGAACGCCATCGCAAGAACGACAGGCGACGAGAATGTGCTAGCCCCAAGTGCCACAAACAGATACGACTGCCACGAAGAACCAACTTACGAGGAAAAAGAAAGGTTGAATTGCTGGAAAAAAAGCGATTGCCATGAGGAATGCTGGAGCAGAGAATTGGTGGCAGAACGAGCAATTCGATGAGGGAGATTCAAGCAAGGGGCTCGCGATAAAGCGGCTCCTCTTCATGGTATACACGTGTCACGGAGCGAGGAGTGAAGCCCCGCTGCTGCCTTTCCATGCGTTCGAGTTATGAGAACGCGGCGCGCCACCGCAAATGCGAGAGTGTTACGGGTGCAATGAATCGAGGTAGCGAGAATTGCACTAAGGTGTCAAACGAGTACAAAATGTGAGCGAAGGCATGAGCGAACATTTATACGCGAAACATGCAAAACGGTAACGCGGTGCGTGCGAACTTGCTAGTGCTACGCTGGAGCGAGGCTCGGGCTAGTCCCGAAGCGTAGGCCGATACGGCCATGCCAGCAGTGCGAGGTTTGGCAAAACAGTGCGCGCGAAGTCGGCGAAGTTCCGTTAGCAGTAACGGGCGAACAGTCGGCTGTTGCTGTACGCGATGTAGTCGGCTCCGTAAGGAATGCCTGAGAAAATTCCTTACACTACCCCCCCCCCTTAAGAAGCCCCCTCCGCTACGCGAGTGCGTGTATATCCCGGAATCCCCGGCTTCTCAAGTACACTTGCAGGGCAGGGTGATTTTCGATGTTGCTCAGGGGCACCCAGCTATCTTCAGTTGGCGTGCGGTCTTTCCAGCGAACGAGGAATTCAATCCTCCTGATTCCCGTGGGGTGGCGGATCCGATGGCTCAAAAATTTCTCGGGCTCGATGATCGGCTCTGATGCAGGGCGAGTCATTGATTGTGGCCGGTGACGCGGCAGTTGACTCGTGGTCGGGATGTATGGGCGAAGTAGGCTGACGTGGAACGAAGGGCTGATGTACCAGTCAATTGGCAACAGTAGGTGCGCGGTGACGGGTGTGATCATGTGACTGATTTGGAATGGTCCACAGTAGCGCGGTCGTAATTTTGGTACGTCGGGCAGTCGCAGATTTTGCGTGTCGAGTAGCACGTAATCTCCAGATTGATACGTGACGGGGCGGCGGTGGCGATCAGCGTTGCGCTTAGCGATGACGTTGGCCTTTTTTATTGCTTCGGCGGCTCTGGCGCGGGCAGCTTGCAGGATTTCGGCGAATTGTTGTGCGCGTGGCGTGGGGTTGTCCGGACTCGGCGTCATGGGCACTGTGGGGTTCTGCCCATAGTTCAGGTAGAACGGGGACTGCTGCGTCGTGGCTGATGTGGCGTTGTTGTACGCGAACTCGATCAGCGGCAGCTGCTGCTCCCAGGTCGTGGGGTCGTCGCACGTGGCACGAATCAACTGCTCCATCGTCTGATTCGTCCGCTCCGTTTGGCCGTCGGTCTCGGGGTGGTACGACGAACTGAACTGTAGCCTGGTCCCGAACTGCTCCCAGAGGTTCTTCCAGAAGTTGCTGGTAAACTTCGTGTCCCTGTCGCTGATAATTGCTGCTGGTATCCCGTGCAGGCGAACAACGGCTGCGATGAACAGGCGAGCGGTCTCTTCGGCTGAGATCGACTTTTTGCACGCAGCGAAGTGTGCCATCTTCGTCAACCTATCCACGACGACCATCACCGCGTCGTTACCCCCAGGGTTCGAAGGTAACCCTGTGACGAAGTCCATGGTTACTTGCTGCCAGGCGCGTTCGGGCGGTGGGATCGGCTGCAATTGACCCGCCTTCCGCTTCCTTGAACTCTTCATCACCTGACACGTCGGGCACGAGCCCACGTGCTGCTGTACGTCGGTCAACAGCTCCGGCCAGTAATAGTACCGCTGCAGTTGCTGTCGTGTTTTTTCTACCCCGAAATGTCCGGAGGTAATCCCGTCGTGTGCCTCCTGCAGCAGCAGCTCCCTCAGTAGTGAGTACGCGGGTACCCAAATGCGGTTGGTGCCTGTTTTTACGTAATAAACTCCTTTTGCTTCTGCCAGTTGCTGTGAATTTCCGGTCGTGAAAAATGGGTCGGTGCGGTATCCGTGGGTGAATAGGCCAGTTAAAAGCGGGTTGGTCTGGGCGAGTAGGATGGCGTGGAGTTGGGCGGTGGGGCGGGTGAGAGCGTCGGCGATGTTGGATGCTCCTTTTTTGTACGTGACGGTGTAGTGAAAATTGGACTCGAGATAGTCCAACCAGCGAATCTGTCGTGGGTTGAGATTCGGTTGGGCGCGAAGGTACTGTAGCGAGCGGTGGTCTGTCCGTACTGTCACGTCGGCACCAGTCAGGTAACATCGCCAAACTTTGAACGCGTGCACGATCGCTAGCATCTCGCGGTCGTGTATCGGGTAGTTACGTTCGGGCGGGTGTAACTTGCGGGACTCGTACGCGATTGGCTGGAGGCCATTCCCGAAATCCTGCAACAGTACTGCTCCCACAGCGATGTCACTTGCGTCGGTGACGAGCTCGAACGGACGGTGGGGATCTGCAATGTGAAGGACGGGCGGGGAGCACAAAATATTTTTGAGGGCCGAGAAGGCAGCTTGCTCTTTCTCCCCCCACGTGTACTCAACCCCCTTCCTCAGCAGGTCAGTCAACGGGGCAGTCAGTTTCGCCATGTCGGGGACGAACCGGCGCACGTAGTTGACGAACCCCAGGAAACTCTGCAACTCGGTCAAGTTGGTCGGCGCGTGCCAAGCCTGAATCGTCGCAATTTTCTTCGGGTCTATTTCCACTCCTGCAGCTGAAATAACATGTCCCAAAAACTCCAGGCGGTCCTGTAAAAACTCACACTTAGATGCTTTGGTCAGTAGGCGGTTCTCACTCAGGATTTTAAAAACTGCTTCGATGTCTTGTAAGTGCTGTGCTCTGTCAGGGCTGTAAATCAGTATGTCGTCCAGATAAACGATGACGCACTTATCTAAAAGCGGGCGGAATGCTTCGTTCATGGTCATTTGGAAAGTGGCGGGGGCGTTGGTCAGTCCGAATGGCATGACGGTGTATTCGAAGGATCCGTAGCGTGTTCGGAATGCGGTTTTAGGGCAGTCGGGTGGGTTGACGCGGATTTGGTGGTATCCTCCTCGGAGGTCGATTTTCGAGAAAACCCGGGCTGTGCGCAGTTGGTCGATCAGTTCGTCGGCTCGTGGGATGGGGTAACGGGATTTGATGGTAACCCTGTTCAGTGCCCTGTAGTCGATGCACATGCGAAAACCCCCGTCCTTTTTCGGTGTGAACAGTATTGGTGCGGCGAAAGGCGACGAACTAGGGCGAATGAATTCCTTTTCTAGCAGGTAATCGAGCTGCTTCCTTAGTTCGTCTAATTCGGGTTGGGTCAGTCGGAACTGTCGCTGTACTGTTGGCTGTGCCCCCCGGTTCCAGTTCTATCCTGTGATCGTGCGGTCGCTGAGGTGGCAGTCCCGTCGGCAGGTCATCCGGGAAAATGTCACTGTACTGTTGTAACAGTGCCGCCAGGTCACTCGGTACGTCGGTCAGCAGTTTCTGTAAATCGCCTCCCTTGTCTGCTGCCTCGGCTTCCCGAATGTCAACCGCGTACACGTCGGCTCCGGCCGCAACAGCGCGTTTCATCGTGATCGCGTTGACACGCACCGACGAAGACTCAGGCGAGCCCCAGCGAGGTAAGGCGATGCTGTTACCGTTCACTCGCACGGTGCAGTCACCCGTCGTCCAGTCAATTCGCGGGTTGTGTCGTCGCAGCCAATCACGCCCGAGTAAAATGTCGGTTCCGTCGAGGGTCGTTGCGAGCATTCCCTGACTAAACGTGAAGTTACCCCCGCATCGAATCCGAACTCGGTCTACGCGTTCCCGTATTGCCAGCGGCGTGCCGTCTACCAGTCGTGCGTCGATCTCAGGTAAGCATCGGTCCAGTGGCAGTCGCAGTTTTCGTGCTGTAGCAGTGTTAATGAGGCTGTGGCTGGCTCCCCCGTCTACGAAGATTTTAACTAAGTCCGTCCCAATTTTCCCACTGAGCAGTATAGGGCTATCTACCGTGGTACCCTCCTTATTCGGCCGGGTGTGGTCGATTGCGTGAACCGGCACAATCACTCGGTGAGGGTCGGTTGGGTCGGGCGAGCGGCGTGACCTGTCAGTAGAGGGCCCGTCTGCTACTGACTTCCAGCGTTTCCCTGCTGCTTGGTCTGTGTCTGCTGCTCAGCTTCCCCCTTTCCCTTAGCGTTTTCCGGGCATTCGCTCTTGCGATGTCCCGGCCGATTGCACGCAAAGCAGCGCCCTTTGAACGGTGCGGCAGCGGCATTTGCGGCGACGGCGCGTATCGTGGCGCTCTCGTTCGTCCCACGAGGCCGATGTCCCCAGGTGTTGTTTCCGTAGGACCCCGGTCTCGGTCGGCGAAAGAAGTCGAGCTTCTCCGCCATAGCGAGAATTTCCTGAAACTCAGTGACGCCGCGAAGCTGGATTTCCTGAGCGATGTCCTGCTTCAGGCCGCCGATGTAGCGGTCGATGCGTTCGCTCTCATGCATGTAGCCCACCTGCTCGCATAGCGCCAGAAATCCGCTCGTGTAATCCTGGACGGAACCGAGTTGGCGCCAAGTGCGGAGCTTCTGTCGCGCCGAGATCGAGGCCGCGATTGGCTCAAATCGAGCGCGCAGACCTGCGCACCACGCGTCCCACGTGCGATACTGGGGCACCTCCACGAAATACGACGGCGCCCAGGGTCCGGTTTGTCCTTCCCGTGTCGGTAGTGTCGCGTAGTCGGTCGGCTTCGTGACGATGACGCGCCACCAGTCCATGGCGGGTCCTCGCAGCAACGACACGGCGTATCGAATCTTCGCCGAGTCCTCCGAGACGTAGTTGGCGTCGAAGAAAACATTCATTGTGAATAACCACGCCTGAACGGTAGGACCACCCCGTTGACTCGGGTCAAAGCATGGCGGGCGCTGCGGTTTCAGCGGCATCGGTGACGGCAGTCCCGAATCGTGGGTTGGTG